AGTGACAAAATTAAGTGGTAGATTGCAGTTGAAGGTATAAATTTCATAGTAAAAATCTGCTGAAAATTACTATTATTATTAAACTTCATACCATTTTAAACCCATACCCAAAGAATTTTAAACATAGTATAATTATAGTACTCATTAATTATAACACGCGTTCAAGTTTATCTTATTCTTTTACAACTTCGCTATCATCTCCAAGTCTAACTCTAGCTTTAATCTCAAAAGGATCATGAAATCCTTTACGAACAATCCAACAGATCTCAGTTACATCAAATTCAATTATTGGGTCTTGGGAAAATATTGATGAAAATTTTTCTATAGCCTCTTGCGCTGATTTCTATTTCAAACCAACCGAGAAAATACGACAACTGTTAAAAGTGAATAACTGAAATTGCAAAATTAAATAATTTCAATGAACGAACGACTTTACCTCGCCACGAAATTGCCCTAACGATAAATGCGGTCTAAATCCCTTGTTTCCAATTTTTATCAAATCGTCAAATCCTGGAAATCCAAAATTTTCATGTTTAACATCATTTCTCTCATCAATATTCATATTATCTTCACAGTCGCCTAAATCAGATCTTCCAATTAATCTATATTCTAACTCAACCAAAGCATTCTCAGGAACGGTTTCAGGATGAAGCCAAACAGTTGAGCTTTGTTTTCCATGTGTGAAATAGCTTAAATTTTGCAATCTTAATTTGAACGGATGGATAGGATGTAAAGCTTTTTTCAAATGTTGTAATATCACATCGTCCGTAATCTCTGAACTCGAACCCTCACTAATATTAAAAGCATCGTTAGCGGTTGAAATATCAAAAGAACTGAAGTTATCTGAAGCATGCTGTTGAGGTAAGATAAAAGGATAAATTAGATTAATATGAGGCATCCATCTATTATAATGTTTATCATGTTTTTGACGAATTGATTGAATATTTGTCCATTGAGATTTTGGAGGGATTATACATATTGCTGATTTATAAGACTTCATTTGCTGTAAAGATAAATTGTTAATGGGACTGTAAAATTATGTAACTTTATGTAATTTGCAGTAGGTTTAGGGATGGCAAAAAAACGTTTTTTAATGATTTTTAATGATTTTTGAATTGTTTTAAATCATGTTTTAAAACATT